TGCTGAGGGCTCGTCGATGTCTCTGACGAGAAAAATATAAACTATCGTATTTACAATCTTCGTCCGAATACGTTCGATAGCGATCCGGTAGAAGACACATTCGCTTACATTGTGCTTTAGTTAATCTATATTCTCACTGGTTAGTTCCTTCAAAAGCTTCAATTTCATTCAATTTGCCTTTAGTCCAGATCAGGCATGTAACCATCCCAAGCCAGGACTCGCTGATTGGCAGCGAACATGTTCAGTAGCGAACCGTTCGGTGACCGAACATGTTCGGTTGCGAACCGTTCGGTCACCGAACTATCGGTTTGGTGTATACCTAATAGGGATTCAGTCAAGGTTCGTGCCTCAATGAGTACACTCAAATAAAATCTTCGTCTGAATCGCGGCACATTTTCATCCAGATCAATGTTGGACGTATTTTTTGGGACATTTTATTTTCCTGCAGACAGTCTCATGTTATTTGACGTCTCTCATCGTATCTGACTTAGCTTGGTGAAAAAGGTAGACAGCGTACTGTTTTTTCCATCTCCAATCAAGCACAAAAATCATCTTCGACAAAGCAAGATATAGCGAACCATAGAAAAGCCAAGAGGGAGAAAGCACCTCTGCATAAGATTGCGCTTTTTAGTATCCATAATTCAAGATGGCCGAAAAGTCGTAGGATCGATGCCTTTTCGGACAATAATTTTTAGCTTTTCTACATCAGCGCCTTTTCTGCATTTTTTCAAAGAAGAACGTCGCTAAAACACTTCTAAATGTACTGTTTGTGGCAAAAACATCAAAGAGTTTTTGCGTGAGTAACATTTTTTTCAAAGTGAGAACATAACAAACTAAAGGAGTCCATCTTCCACTTTATCGATTAATTTTAGCCTTTTCAGATTTTGAGAAACAGAATCGAATGGAAGTTTCGTGAAGCGAACCGTTCCTTTTTTATTTTAAAACGTAACTGCAAAACTTCGAGAACGTAGCTAATCTAATATCTAAACGGCGTTTATTGTCAACATTTTGTTATGCTCCTTATATCCCAGTTTTCGGAACCTTCACTCCTTCATTCTTTTCATAGACCTTAACAAAGAATAGAAACTAATTTAATGCATAGATCGCGCTTCTCTTGTATTTCCATTCTAATTTTACATTAGAGTAGCAAAGTTTTTGTTATACTATCTGTCTTTCTCCAGCCATCTTGATTTCTTTGATCCATTGTAGGCAAATACGGCAATTACTGTACTGTCACAAAATTTTTTCTTTCTTTTTCTTTTCACTAATTTATCAACACTATCCGATTTCAGTCAAGCGTACAAACGGTAAGCTTTAGCACATTTTTTGTACTATACTGTATTAAACTATACAAAAATGGCATTAAATAGTATGGTACGTCAGATAAATGCTCCTCGTGCACAATGTTCAACATGTGATGAATCAAATGGACTACATGAATGTGATGAATGTCATAAACGATTTTGTCACAGACATCTGACTGTTCATAAAGAATTATTAAAAAAATTTGATGAACAGGGAACACAACGTATTCTACAAGTTAAACAAAAATTAATAGGCATAGAAAAAGACTCAAAATCTCAACGAAATAATCATCCATTAATGAAGAAAATTACAGAATGGGAATTAGAATCGACATCGAAAATACATCGTATAGCTGAGGAAACCCGATCGAAAGTACAACAGATATTAGATGAAAATCTTGTCGAATATCAAAATGAATTTCGAGTAATTAAAGATAAGTTAGAAATAAGTCAAGGCACACACGATTTTAAAGATGTTGATTTTATAAATTGGCTTTTCCAGTTAGTGGAATTACAAAAAAAATTAGAAGCTGAAGAACCAAATATTAAAGTTGAAATTGAAAACGAACATTGGATACCAAACATTAATGTGGTGAAGACTACTAAAAATGATAAGGAAGAATAATGGTGCTCGCAAGTTATAATTCGGATAGAAATGGTCTTTAATTTCTCTTTTCATAAACTGCTGTCTTGCTTCTTTAGTTGTTTAAAAATAAAAGATTAAACAAAATAGAATTATTTGTAGAGTCAGTCCATGTTGAGGACATTTTTGACTGTAGAACAGGTCTCACAGCCAAGAAAGACGAAAAATTAATTTGAGCAAAGTGTGTAAATTGAAAAATGTTCTTAGCACCAAGAACTTAATAATTCGTCAAGAATCAATGTTGTCTATGGGATTTTGTGTAAATGTAATACATTATACGTAGGCGAAACTGAAAACTTCGACATACGTTTAGAGCAACATCAGAAATGTGTAGAAAAGAAAAGAATAAAAATATCTGAAATTGTCAAACATGTTTCAAACTGTAAAGATAACGTCATCTTTGATCATGAAAGAAATATCTATACGAGGAGATAGTTAGAAAATCAATCTACTCATTAATCAATCGATCATACAATAAAAAACTAGTGTTACCACAGTCGTAGCCACCAATAATTGCTCAATGGGTTAAGAAAGGTACGGGAGTTATTTACAGCAAGAAAGATAAAAACGAGAAAGTTAAGGAAGGAGAGAGTCAAAGTAAGAAAGAGAATAACGAGAACATTAAGAACACAATGTTGAGAACAGAAAATTCCAGATATAATCTGAGAATGAAAGAAAAAGTTGACTATTCAAAATTAATAAGGAATAATCCTTTTTCTATGGTATAACCTTAACGTGCTGTTATTTATTTTAGATTTTGGTTGTTCTATAACATTTGTTTTTATTGTCAACTACTGATGAAGATTTTTATTAATCGAAACGTTTAGCTAAGCAATAAACTACGAAGTAAAATGGAAGAGATAAAAGAATTATTAAAGATTTTTGTTATGAAAAGTATGATGTTTAGTTCAACGGATACGGAATTGACTTTATTTGTTTGAAACTGTCTGTCGCTTCAATTTTCTTCTAAAATAAAAAAAGAAAAAGGTGGAATATGTCATTAGAAAAAACTATTACTACTTAAATTGAGTGAGAATTGCCGGGACCAACCAAGACCAACCTCGTCCCGGTCGTTGTATTTGCTAAAGTGATTGATGACGAAGGTGATATACTTTAAAATAAACGGGCTAAAAGAGCAAACATTCTGTACAAAATGCGTGGAGAAATAATAGTTTACCACAAAAGTTAATGGAATGACACGCAAAATCTTTTACCGGGATCAGAAAATTTTTTTGGTTCCATCTCTAACCCGAACAGATCCGACGATTCAGTTCACCAGAACATCTGTGCTCTCTATGCGATATAAAATTTCCAACACACACTTGCATATTTTGTTTTTTTCTTTACAGTCCCTGAAGCCATGACGATTTCAACAAATTAGCACTTTCGGAGTGATAAAAAGTTCTTTGACTTAAAAAGATCAAAAAACATCGAGAGAAAAACAGTTCGTCAGAGATAGGCGACGCTAAGAACACTGTTTCAGCTACATATTATTTAAAAATTAATTGTATTTCAATAATGTTATTCGCGGATAAAATCAAAACAGTTTAACTTCATTATATTGCACACAATTAGACGATACACGTCTTGTTACTGCTAATTAACGATGACTGATATATGATAGTTGGTTCTCAAACAACCGTGCTGACTAACAAACACTTCGTTCTGAAGTATTGAATGAATTTATAGCCGTTGTATCATTATAGATAGGCGACCAACTATCCCCTCATATCGACAGTGAACAATCATTAGCATTACCAACAAAAAAGTCACTATTTATTTTGCCACTATTTAGTCTGCCAGCTTTTTTCTATTCTGTTGCATTTTGTTTGAACCTGTGACCTTTGGAGCGAAAAAGGTAAATACGAGTTGTTGTTCGCTTGTTCCATAAGCTATTTTGAGAGTGAATATTTCTTCAAACGTGCTGGCGAACACAATCACTGGTGAGTTGAGTGAAAACAGAACTCTTTTAGTCATGTTTACTGCTTCGAAAAGAGTGAAGCTCATCTTGAGGGATGGCCTATCAAAACGTTTCACAGCACTTTCGTCACCATACCCTTTCGTCATCAGGCAACAGTGAACTTTCGTCATATGACGATGACGAAAGTTCTGTTTTCAGTGACAAAAATTCATGCGGTATGTGACGAAAGTTTAGCTATGTTTACATAGTGGTTACGAAGGTTTAACCCCATTTGTGACGAAAGTGTCTGGTTTTTTATACAGGTTGCACTTTGATCACACGTTGCGTGAAATGGCTGTGACGAAACCAAGGTTTTAGTGCAAAGTTCATTAGTCCAAAGTGTTGTAGTTCAAACTGTAGTAGTGCAAATTGGAGTAATAACTTCTTACTGTTTTGAAAAATCAGTCATTCGTTTTTTCCAGATCAGTTACCATGTGCAGCATACAACATTGATCAGCATCGGCCATTTTAAGCTTTTGTTCGGAGTTATCCGAAGACAGGTACTTTTTTGGGGATTTCTCTTGGAAAGACTCGAATTGGGAAGGAGTTACAATGCAATGGCGGCATAGCAAATTTGTCATACCATCGTCGCCTCCGCTCGATCTATTTGCTCGTATTCATACTCAACATGGTCGTGATGAACAACGCGAGCGCAGTGCGCACTTCAAATACACATTTGGTTACTTGTTCGGATGTGTTCTGATTCTATTCTTATTTCAATGTCATAGCCGAGTCCACAACGCAGTAGCAGGTCCGTTTCATCGCAATCTTGATCAATTCGTTGCTCATCTGAACATCTACCGACCGTGAGTTAGCAATCGATGAACGGTCTTTTCTCTATCGCTGGTCTTCATTTCGTACCGAATACCTTCAAATTGAACTTGGAGAAAATCAAGTCGAGCAAGGGAAAACATGTATATTACGTGCGTTTGATCGTTCATCTACTAGGTTGTTACACACGTTCAAGCGCATTCAAGAACAAACCATTGCCATCGTTCTTCATCCCGATCAACTTTACGTCAAACTAGCGTCACGCCAACAGCGAGACCCAAGCAGACAAACATTTGGAAAAACGCGTTTAAACGCTCAAAAGGGAACCGCGATTGTGAGCCAGTAACGCTCATTAAAAAAACGCGTTTTTTGCGCAAAATTTTCACTTTCAGACCGTGAAAACGGCGAAAACTCCCGTTGTTGAGCGTTAAAACGCGCTTTTATTCCAGAATTTAA